TTTTTTAAAAATTTATTGTTTTTAAATTGTATGTGTATGAGTGTTTTGCCTGTATGTATGTAAGTGCATCTGTGTCATGCAGTCTCCTCAGAAGCTAGAAGAAGGCATCAGATCCCTTGGAACTGGAGTTACAGATGGTTGTGAGCTGAGCTGCTGTATAGGTGCTGGGAACTGAACCCAGGTCCTCTGCAAGAACAGCCAGTGCTCTTAACTACTGAGCCATCTCTCTAGCCCATATCAACAAAATTTTAATCTGGAAAGATAAGGCAAACAAGAAAGAAATAAGGTGATAGGAAGCAGGGGAGAAAGGTTAACTGGTTTAGCCAGCTGCAGAAAGTCAAAGCTCCTGTGTGTCCAAAGGCCCGGGCTGGTTCTTGGGGTAAAATCCCCTAAAGGCTTGTGAATAAAAGTACTGGCTCTTGCCGGGCGTGGTGGCGCACGCCTTTAATCCCAGTACTCGGGAGGCAGAGGTACTGGCTCTTTTGGAAAGCAGGTGGTGGGGGCACACCTGAAAACATGGGGAGCCAAGTACGAAGGAACAGAGCATGTTAGGGGCTTTGGAGCCAAGCACACCTGTGTCCAAACCCAGCTCAGCCATGTACTGGCTGTGTGACCTGGACAAGTGTCATATCTTAGAAATTCAGTTCCATTTTTAAAATGTGGGTCATAGACTTACCTTGAACAGGTGTGACGGTTAGCACAGTGTATTTTTTTTTTTTTTTTTTTTTTTTGAAGCAGGGTCTCCCTGTAGCCCCAGCTGTCCTGGAACTCACTATGTAGACCAGGCTGGCCTCAAACTCACAAAGATCCGCCTGCCTCTGCCTCCCAAGTGCTGGGATTAAAGGCGTGCGCCACCACTCCTGGCAGCACAGTGCATTTTAAGTACAGAAGGTGGCATATGGTAAGTACTAAAATAGGACCTCTCTTTTGGAGTGCTGGGGATGGAACCTGGGACTTTGTGTATGGTAGGCAAGCACTCCACCTCCAGCCTAGCAGAACCATGTTAGTTGCTTGACCTTTGTACTCTGTTTGTCACTAGTAGGGGAAGCTGGCAGAGTGCCTCTGAAGGACTGACCCTCTACCTCAAATCCTGGACTAGTGCTCCCACTTCTCCAGACCTAGTGCACTCAAGAAAAATCTAAGTGGGGTTGGAGAGATGGCTCAGTGGTTAAGAACACTGGCTCTTCTTGCAGAAGACCCAGGTTTGAATCCTAGCACCCACATGGCAGCTAAGAACTATCTGTAACTCTGGTTCCAGGGGATCTGGCCCCATCTTCTAACTTCCATGAGCATTGCATGACATGGGTGTATTTACATACATGTAGGCAATATACTCATACACATAAAGGAAAAATAATAATAATAAAAAAAGAAAAGTCTAAGCATCTCTTGGACCTGTGTTTCCAGCTGGTAGGAGGCAAGTGGCTGTTGGCTGACTTGTTTGAGTATCCCCCTTCAAGAAGGGGACTCAGTTCCAGATCTATTTGCTCTCAATAGATCTTCAGGCCTCAGTGTTAGGCCTCTCTCCCCAGCTGGGCTTCTCTCCCCATCTGGCCCTCTGAGCATTCTCTCCTTTGGGGAATAGAGCCCATTACAAGGATTCAGCTATCCCTGGGCTCTCAGGCCTGCTTTCTACCAGTATCTCATCAGAACCCTAGGCCAACCTTCCCTGACTCTGTGTCTGTAGTCCAGGGAAGCCTCCAGGTGGATGAATGCTTCCAGGAAGTTGCTAGTTTATTTTTCATCGTGTTTCTCCGTCTTGCATCCATCATTTGTCCTAGGGAAAGAATCTTTCCAGTTACTCAAGCATGAAACACCAGGTTTATCTTTGATTCTTCATTTCCTCCAATGAGATTCCTTAAGTGTTGAATTCAGTGTGATCTAGAGAATGACCAAACCTGAAGTTTCCTTTGTCTGCCCTTTCCTGACTGACCCACTGTTCTAAGTGTGGATTACCTTTGCCTGTTAATTCCTATGCATCCTGATGTTAAAAACTAGCCTTCTGGGAACATCAATTTTATTTTATTTCTTTTTGCCTCCGCCTCTGCCCCCTCTGCCTCCTCCTCCTCCTCTTCTTCTTCATCCTCCTCCTTGGCCTCCTCTTCCTCTGTCTCCTCCTCCTCCTCCACCTCCACCTCTGCTGCCGCTTTTTGAGACAGGAACTTGCTATGTAGTCTAGGCTGGCCTCAAACTCATTGTGTAGCTCAGGCTGGCTTCAAACTCACAGTGATCCTTCTGCCTCAACCTCCCAGGCATTGTGATTATAGTTGAGCTACCACACACTCAATTTTTTTGGTTTGTTTTTTTGTTTTTTTTTGGTCTTTTTGAGACAGGGTCTCCCTGTAGCCCCAGCTGTCCTGGAACTCACTGTGTAGACCAGGGTGGTCTTGAACTCACAGAGATCTGCCTGCCTCTGCCTCCTGAGTGCTGGGATTAAAGGCGTGCACCACCATGCCCGGCTTGTTTTGTTTTTTAACTTTTTTTTTTTGTCTTTTTGAGACGGGGTCTTCTTGTAGCCCCAGCTGTCCTGGAACTCACTATGTAGAGCGGGCTGACCTCGAACTCACAAAGATCTGCCTGCCTCTCAAGTGCTGGGACTAAAGGCGTATGCCACTATGCCCGGCCTATTTTTTTAACTTAAAAATTTTTTTAAAAATTATTTTTATTTTATGTGCATGAGTGTTATGCCTGCATGTAGGTAAGTGCACCTGTGTCGTGCAATGCCCAAGGAGAACAGAAGAGGCTGTCAGATCCCCTGGGACTGGAGTTACAGTTGTTAGTTGCCATGTGGGTGCTGGGATTCGAACCTGAGTCTTCTGCAAAAACAGTCTGTTTTTAACTACTGAGCCATCTCTCCAGCCCTGTTTTGTTTTTTAAAGAATTTTTTAAATTACATTTCTTGCTGGGTATGGTGGTACACACCTTTAATCTCAGCACTGGGGAGGCAGAGGCAGGTGGAGCTCTGTGAGTTCCAGGTCAGCTAAGGCTATATAGTGAGACCCTGTCTCAAAAAAATTACATATGTATATGTTTTTGTTTTTTTTGTTTTTTTTTTTGAGACAGGGTTTCCCTGTAGCCCCAATTGGCCTGGAACTCACTATGTAGACCAGGCTAGCCTTGAAGTCACAGAGATCCACCTGCCTCTGCCTCCCTAGTGCTGGGATTAAAGGCATGCACTGTGCCAGGCCTTTATATGTATGGGGGCCAGAGGTTAGAGGACAACTTGCAGGAGTTGGCTCTCTCCTTCCAGCACATGGGTCCTAGGGATCAAACTCAGATCATCAGGTGTGGCAGCAGGTACCTTAGCTCCTGAGCCATCTTGCCCATTCCATGTTTTGTTTGGTTTTTGTTTTTTGAGACAGGGTCTTTCTATGTAGTGTTGACTAGCCTGAAACTTGAGGCCCAAGTGTTGTCACTAGAGGTTTGAACCACTGCACCTGGCTCTCAGCATCAATTTATCACATTCCTTGCCATAGAATCTTTCAGTGACTTCATTTTCTGCAGGGTAAATTTCGATTCCTGGGCCTGGGTGGTGCTCAGGGCTTGCTGTAGTCATGCACAGCTCTGTCTGCTCACCTTTGCTTCTATATCACAGCTGGCCAGTGCCTTGACTAACTTCAGGACCAGCCTTGTTCACTTGCCGTGTTAATTCATGGCCTTCTTCCCTCTACCTCAAGTGTCCCTTGCCTCCTGGTCACCTATTCCATTCTCCTGCCCACTCTCAAGTCTCAGTCCCCATACCACTACAGGTCTTTCCCAGTCTTCAGCCTCCTGGGCCTCTTTTCCTGAATTCTGAGGATAGTAAGGGTCCTCATCCATTGGGCTGTTGCTGTTGAGTGCCTGTCTGACCTCCAGTGAGGTGGGGGCTCTCTGGGTCCCAGCATGGATGGCACAGGATTTTGCTTATGTCACACAGTGCCTCATCAACATGGCCTCCTTTTCTTCCTGCTCTCCGAGAGGGTTTCAGAAACCAGAACATAGGCAGATTTGATGGCACAGGCCTATTAATCCCAGTACTTGGGAGGCTGAGATAGGAGGATTTGGAGTCTGATACAAGCCGGGGCTGTGAAGTCTCTGTCTAAAAAAAGGGGGGTGATGGAGGGGAGGCTATGTATGTAGCTCAGTTGGTTGCATGAAGCCCTGGGTTCTATCCCCAGTTTGGCATAATTGGTCTAGTGTGGCTTATGCATACCATCCCAGCCCTTGGGAGAGGGGTAAGGGGCTCAGAGTCATCCCTGGCTATGTAGCGAGTTGGAGGCCAGCCTGGGATGCATGAGACCTTGTCCCTAAAAATAAATACATTAATTAATTTAATTAAATAAATAAAGAATAAACTAAGATAGTTCTAGAAAGTCTCAGAGTTGGAGCCCTCCATGGTCAGGTTCCTGGGCCTATTTTTCCCTCTTCCTTGCTTCCCTCATTTCCGCATACCCTTACTCAGAGCTCTTAAATGCGTGGTGGGAATCCCTTCTCCATGCTGCCTCTCTTCTCATCCCTAAGGTGAATGTGCCACTTGTTTTTGTCTTTATCCCCCACCCCTTCTTCTGTCTGCTAATGATTATTCAAGGAACTTAACTGCTGTCCCTGTCCCAAATTGGTGAAAGTTCTCTTTGGGACAAGGGTCATAAAGTTATGCCATGGCCATGTGACTGCTGGTTTTACCCCACTCCCTCTGCTGCCTTGGTCCTACCATTCTGTAAAGTTCATTGTGTACCTGTCACTAGCTCATCTGAGAAGAGACCTGAGCAAAAAAGTAAGCGTCATGTCTCTTCTTAGGTGGACGGGGGCTTCCGATTCCACCTGCTCGGCATTGATTGCCTTTCCCTTCCTGCCCCTTCCCACGGGCTTTTTCCTTGGATGTTGTCAGTGTCTGCACATGGAGTTCAGAACTGAGCTGCAGGACTTAGGACCTCGGGGCCCTCACTGGGTGGAAGGTCTTGCTTGTTTGGTTCAGATGGGGCACACAGGCTGAGTGAGGAATGGCTCCACCCTGCTTGCAGATTTCATCCTGATGGCTGACTCAAAAACACGCCCTGCCCTGGATGGAGACCCCTTGGCTGTGGAGACCTTGCTCCAGGACGTGTTTGGGATTGTTGTAGATGAGGCCATTCGGAAAGGGACCAGTGTCTCTGAGAAGGTGGGTTCTTTCTCCTATCTCCTCCTAAACCGAGCTCCAATGAATGTATCCCATCTCCTGTGTGCCTCAAGGTCTGCACCCTTGGTCTTTTCTTCTTCGTTCCCCTTGCTTGTGTGCACTTCGAAAACATTCTTGAATTGTTTTAGTTGCAAGTGGTTGACATCTTGTGTCTGATGTGAGGTATGGCTGGGGCAGCCAGTTGATGAGTCTAAGGTCCCTGCATCTTGGCCTCTCCTTAGGTCTGTGAATGGAAAGAGCCTGAAGAGCTAAAACAGCTGCTGGATTTGGAGCTGCAGAGCCAGGGCGAGTCACAGGAGCGGATTCTGGAGCGCTGCCGGGCAGTGATTCACTATAGTGTCAAGACCGGTATGCCTAGGGACCTGGCGGGAGGAGTTTCTGGTCCTTGCACCAAGCTCTACCCTGAGCCCCCTGCCTGTTCCTCTCTTCCAGGTCACCCCCGGTTCTTCAACCAGCTCTTCTCAGGGCTGGATCCTCATGCGCTGGCTGGGCGCATCATCACAGAGAGCCTCAACACCAGCCAGTGAGCCATTCAGGGTCCCTCCGTCTGTAAAAGGACTTGGGTTTGCTTGGGAGGAGCCATCTAAGTAGGAGACAATGGTTTCTGCCCCTCTCCACTGTTTCCTTCCCTCCTGTGCTTTGGGCTCCCGTTCTCCAAGCCTTCTCTTGCCTCCTGACCCGCTGTTTTTGTTTTTTTCTCATCTGTGCTGTCTGTTCTTTGATACTTTCTTTTTCCTCTCTTGGGACCCTTCCTTCACCTCCTCTGACTCCCCTAGTTTAAGGTTCTAGCCCAATAGTGCTGTCCTCTACCTTTTTCACCATTGCTGTCTGGCAGGTACACTTATGAGATTGCCCCCGTGTTTGTGCTCATGGAAGAGGAGGTGCTGAAGAAACTCCGTGCCCTGGTGGGCTGGAGCTCTGGGGATGGGGTCTTCTGCCCGGGTATGTGAGAGGGAGGCCTTCCTTGGGCCTTTGTAAGGGTTCTGCCTTCTGCACCTTTCTCTTGCTCTGTGCAGCTAGCACACAGCAGCAATGTCTCTTGGCTTCCTCTCTGGCTCCACTGGGCTAGACCAGGGAGGAGGCTGGCCAGCCGCCTTGGTCCTGGTGTTGGCCAGAAGTCCTGGATCAGTGCTCTGGAGTCATTTGTTAGGGGAAGGGTGTCTCTTGTGGGCAGCCCAGAGTGTGGAGGGGTGGTCAGGAGGATCTGCTGATCCTGGAGCTGTTCTGGGTTCTTGCACTGCTTGTGAAGGCTTGAGAGCTCATGATGCCTGCTTCTTTAATCAGTTCTGGTTGGAAAGGTCAGGGCAAGCAAGCTCTGGTCTTGACCTACTACCTCTCTCTCTTGCTTCCACTCCCTCCCTGTGACAGGTGGCTCTATCTCCAACATGTATGCCATGAATCTGGCCCGCTATCAGCGCTACCCAGACTGCAAGCAGAGGGGCCTCCGGGCACTTCCACCCTTGGCCCTCTTTACATCAAAGGAGGTAGGAAGAGTCACAGACCCAACCCTGGGCTCCTGTTTCTAATCTTCAGCCAATTCATTGAGACCTTTCAGATCCTCTTCCTGCCGCCCCCTGCCCTCAAATGGATGTGCTTCCATCCAGTCCAGAAGCCCAAATATGCACTTGTGCTTATTTTGTCTTCTCTTTAGAGATAGGTAGGACAAGTACAGTGGGCACAGTCCACTCCTCCGAGGTTGTGGGTGGTCTAGCAGCACTGATACCACCAGAAGCTTAACCCAGATCCAGTGCAGTTCTTGCACACAAACAGGAAGAATCTCTAGCTGTAGGGTCCCATTGATTGCAGCTCACACAGCTTTTACCGGTCTCCATCCTCCCCATCCTCCCTATTTTCTGGCCCCAGCTGCGGTCATGCTAACTTACTTGCCCTCTGCATTCTTCCACAGTGTCACTACTCCATCAGTAAGGGAGCTGCTTTTCTGGGACTTGGCACTGACAGTGTCCGAATGGTCAAGGCTGATGAGAGGTGAAGGTCCCTCTGCTGGCCTGGCACTGACCCAGCGTGGCACATACCTCTGGTGCACCCCTCCTACCTCATTCTTCTTGCAGAATTGCTGCTTCTACCTCTCCATGCCTACCAGAGTCCTTACCCTGTGCCCTGAGGTCTCTTCAACCCATCTTAGTCAAAAGTTCTCACCTTGACCTCTGTGCTGCCCCCACACCTTACCTGTGTCAGGTGCCTCCTCCTGTGAAGCACCTGCACTTTCTCCACTCAGTTTTCTTTTTCAGAGGGAAAATGATCCCTGAGGATCTGGAGAGGCAGATCAGTCTGGCCGAGGCTGAGGTGAGTAAGGGTCCTCGGCAGTGGAGTGGGCCCTTATATCCCCTTCCTGGAAGGTTATTTGGATTCTTTCTGCTTGAGATACTCCTCATGACTCTCCATTATCTCTGTTCTTCTCGGTGTCAGGGACTCTGCTCAGACTTGGGGTTCTAAATTGCTGAGGGAGTCTCAGGCAGCCGGGTAGGGAGGGCAGGAGGTACCTGAAGTGTAGGCAGATGGTTTCTGTGGGCTGAGAGTCAGTGCAGGGGGCTGCTGAGGAGGAGTGCAGGTGAGCAGGGCAGGCAGTGGGGGAAAAGGTAAGGACACTAGCTCTCACCTCTGTGGGGGGGAGCACATTTAAATGTGTCTGTCTACTGACCGGAGTTCTGTTGCTCAGAATTGCAGTGAATAATCACAAGCACATGGAATTCTGTACATGAGGACAGTTTCTGGAACAAAGTATGAAGTGAAAAAAATTTAATACCTGTTAGTAGATAAGATAAATTATGGTATATTTCTAGGGCTCAGTTTCTTTCTCTGTGAAATGAACGTACCACGGAATTTACCACATAGAGCTGTCATAAGGATTAAATGAACTAGTGTGCAAAGCATTTAGAATGGTGCCCGGACATGGACATTAGCTGTTGTGATTTATTTATTTGAGACAGACTGTTGCTGTGTGGCCCAGACTGACTTTAAACTCAGTATGTAGCTCATGTTAGCCTCAAACCTGTGATCTTCCTGTCTCAGCCTCCCCAGTGCCATAATATAGCTGTGGGCCCCCAGGCCCTGCCTTATCATCATCATCATCATCATCATCATGGTACTATGTGGCCAATTAAAATAATAAGATAGGAAGGTATACATGCTAATGAAAGTATCTCCATTCTCTATATAAAACATGTATTTCAGCTGGTGTGGTGGTATACATCTTTAATCTCAGCACTGAGGAGGCAGAGGCAAGTAAATCTCCGTGAGATTGGAGTCAGCCTGGTCTATATAGTGAGTTTCAGGCCACAGAAACCCTGTTTCAAAAACAAACAAAAAAACAAAACCCATGTATTTGAAGTTACCTTTTGGAATGAACACTCTGAACCTATTTTTGCTATTTAGAGCAGTATATACTTAGGATGTATGGCTGCTCCCTATAGCCCCAGCTGGCTTGGAACTTGCTATAGACCAGGCTGGCCTTGAACTCACAGAGATCCACCTGCCTCTGCCTCCCAAGAGCTGGGATTAAAGGCGTGTGCCACCACACCTGGCTGCAATCCATTCCTTTTTATGAGTACTATTCCATTATATGGCTAGACCACAATTTTTTTTTTGTCTTTTTGAGACAGGGTCTCCCTGTAGCCCCAGCTGGCTGGAAACTTGCTATAGCCCAGGCTGGCCTTGAACTCCCAGAGATCCGCCTGCCTCTGCCTCCCAAGTGCTGGGATCAAAGGGGTGCGCCACCACTCCCAGCTTATTTTTGTTTGTGTGTGATTTTTTTTGGTCTTTTTGAGATAGTGTCTCCCTGTAGCTCCAGCTGACCTGGAACTCACTATGTAGACCAGGCTGGCCTTGAACTCCCAGAGATCCGCCTGCCTCTGCCTCCCAAGTGCTGGGATTAAAGGCGTGTGCCACCACGCCCGGCCTTCTATTTCTTTTTTCTTTTTCTTTCCTTAAGAGACAGGGTCTCACTATATAGCCCTGGCTGGCCTAGAATTCAAAATATACACCAGGCTGGCCTCAAATTCACAGAGATCCAATTGCATATGTCTCCCGAGTATTGTGATTAAAGGCGTGTACCACCATGCCCAGCCTTCTATTTTTCTTTTAAGTTTTATTTTATGTGTATGAGTGTATTGCCTGCATGTATGTGAGGTCAGAAGAGGGTTTCAGATTCCCCTGGAACTGGAGTTAAGGACAGTTCGT